TGACATGTCTTCATACAGTGTAAAGGAATATTCCACAACAGGAAGGAAACTGGAGACTCTAAGCCTTGGACAGAAGGGTGAAGGAGGGAGTGGTCAGATATTCAGACTCAAATTCAGCTATGCTATGTACATTGTTGACCCCAGCCTGAGAGTTATCTTGAAGGTTTTATTTATTATTTATTTTTATCATTTATTTATTTTGGGTTTTTGAGACAGGATTTCTCTGTATAGCCCTGGCTCTCCTGGAACTCACTATGTAAACTCAGCTAGCCTCAAACTCACAGAGATACACCTGTCTCTTTTTCCCAAGTGCCAAGCTTAAATGCATGCACAACCACCACCCCCCAACCCCGGTTTTCTTTCTCTCTTTGAAACATTTTTAATGATGTTTTATTCTTATTTTATATTGTTTACATTGGTGTTTTGCTTGCATGTATGTCTGCATGAGGATGTCAGATCCCCTTGAACTGGAGTTATAGACAATTGTGAGCTGCCATGCAGATGCTGGGAATTGAACCTAGGTCCTCTGGAAGAACAGCCAGTGCTCTCAACCACTGAGCCACCTCTCCAGTCTCTGAGTCATCTCTCCAGCCCCAGGCTTGAAGGTTTTAAAGGAACACTTATCAAGGTGTCTGTGGGATATGCTAACTCTTCAATAAATAGTGACATATGGATTAGTGTGTTTAATAGAATGGATTGGGCGGTGGTGGTGCACGCCTTAAATCCCAGCACTCAGCAGGCAGAGGCAGGTGGATCTCTGTGAGTTCAAGGCCAACTTGGTCTGCAAAGCAAGTTCCAAGACAGCCAGAACTGTTACACAGACAGACCCTGTTTCTAAAAAACAAAAACAGAGTGGGCTAGGATGAGGACATAGCTCAGTAGGTAAAGTGCTTACTGTGGGAGAATGAGGACCTGAGTTTAGATCCCTAGCATCCATGTGAAAACCCAAGGCAGTGAGTGTATAACTTCAGCACTTGATTAACCCCAGGGCCTTGAGGAGGTCTGAATAGGACTGCCCCCCTAAGGTTCATATATTTGAATGCTTAGTCATCAGAGAGTGGCACTACTTAGAAGGACTGAGAGGTGTGGCCTTGTTGATGGAAATGTGTAACTGGGGGTGGGGTTTGAGGTTTCTTAAGCCTAAGCCAGGTCCAGCAACTCTCTCTCTTCCTTCTGCCTCCAGATCCAGACATAACCCTCTCAGGTACCATGTCTGTCTGCATGCATCCTGCCTTGAGGATAATGGACTAAACCCTCTGAAACTGTAAGCAAGCCCCAGTTAAATGTTTTCTTTTTTAAGGGTTGCCATGGTCAAGGTGTCACAGCAATAGAACACTTCTAAGACAGGTCTCAATGGACAGTCAGTCAAGCCAAAACAGCCACTTGCATTGCCTTTATTCTCAGCAATCAGGGAGTAAAATGGGTTGATTTCTACTCTATCTTTTAAAAGAAAAAAAAGGAAAGAAAAAAGAAAGTAAAAAAGACCTACTGTCCTGGGTGATTTTGTGTGTCAACTTGACACAAGCTAGACTCTTCAGAGGAAGGAACAGCAGCTGAGGAAAGGCCTCCATGAGATCCAGCTGTAAGGCATTTTCTCAATTGGTGATCAATGGGGGAAGGCCCGGCTCATGGTGGGTGGTACCATTCCCGAGCTGGTAGTTCTGGGTTCTATAAGAATATGCACACACGCACGCACGGCAAATGTTTGTTTGATGGGGTTGAATATTTTTTTAATATTTATTTATTTATTTATTATGTATACAATATTCTGTCTGTGTGTATGCCTGCAGGCCAGAAGAGGGCACCAGACCCCATTACAGATGGTTGTGAGCCACCATGTGGTTGCTGGAAATTGAACTCAGGACCTTTGGAAGAGCAGGCAATGCTCTTAACCTCTGAGCCATCTCTCCAGCCTGGGGTTGAATATATATCCAGCCACTTATAAATACTAAAGAGATGATTTTCTAGTCCAGGGATGGAAGACCTCAGCCAGATCAGGACTACCACCTGATGAAGCAATGTTTGTTATTGTTGTTGTTACAATATGACATGCCTACTTAAGGACTGATTGCTTATGGTTGGTTTTGCACTGTCACAGAACTGAGTGGTCACAAACAAAACTATTTCGGTCTACAAGGCCTAAATTATTTGTAGTCTACTCCTTTAAAAAATATTTATTTATTTATTATGTATACAGTATTCTCAGTATTCTGTCTGCATGTGTGCCTGCGTGCCGGAAGAGGGCATCAGATCTCTTTACAGATGGTTGTGAACCACAATGCGGTTGTTGGGAATTGAACTCAGGACCTATTGGAAGGGCAGACAATGCTCTTAACCACTGAGCCATCTCTCCAGCCCTGTTGTCTACTCCTTTAAAGAATGATCTACCAGCCAGGCAGTAGTGGTGCACACCTTTAATCCCAGCACTCGGGAGGCAGAGGCAGGCGGATCTCTGTGAGTTTGAGGCCATCCTTGTTTATGAGAGCTAGTTCCAAGATAGGTTCCAAAGCTATAGAGAAACTCTGTCTCAAAAACAAAAAGCAAAAAAAGAATGATCTACCAAAGCATGGTGTAGTGGCACACATCTTTAATCCCAGAAATCAGGGGGCTGAGGTGGGTGGCTCTCTATGAATTGGAGACCAACCAAGGCTACACAGTGAGACTCTGTCCTAAAAAAGAAAGAAAAAAGAAGAAGAAATAAGAAAAAAAGAAACAAAAAGAAAGAAATGACCAGGAAGTATCAAGGGAATCATGTGTACCACCACATTCAGGCTTTCATACTCACATCCCCAGTGGTGGGTCACCTACATGGTGGGTCACCTTCATGGTGGGTCACCTATATGCTGTCTTCCAGAATGATCGTGTGAGCAAGACACCATAATTTATAATGTACTTGAGCCAAAATTACTTACCTGAAATCCACCAAATTAAAAGTTAAGTGATAGCACGAAGAAGCAAGACACATCCAGAAAGCCAGGGATGACAGTGCACACCTGTAACTCCAGCATTTGGGAGGCTACTACCAGAAGACCAGGAACTCGCGGCCATCCTAAGCTACCGAGCAAGATCTCAACCTCTGTGCATGTGCGTCCGCACACACACACACACACACACACACACACACACACACACACAGTGGTGGGGGGAGAGTTGAGGCTATAGTTCATTGGCAGAGCACTCGCCCAGCCTGGCATGCAAAGTGTGAAAGACAATCATTATACCTCCAATAAAGGAGATATCAGGCATTCGGGAATAAGAGTTGAGGATTCTGAAGTGTAATAATCCCTCAAGGTAGAAATTAGTGCTGAAGGACTCACCCTGGCCAGCTGGATGGAGCTGGAGGCCCTGGGACTTGTATCTGAGTCCAACCCCAGCAGAGCGTCTCGATATATTTCAACCTCCTGAATTAGTCACTTTCCCCACTGCTCTGACAAAGAAAAACAACTTAAGGAAGAAAGAGTTGCTTTTGGCTCACAGTTTGAGAGGCCACAGCCCATCACCACAGGGAAGGCATGGTATCTAGCTGGGCAGTGGAGCAGGAGGCCGCAAGCCCACCGTGTCCGCAGTAAGACGACGTGTCTGCAGAGAGACGGGAGGGGTCAGCTTGCTTTTCCTTTTTTACAGTACTTCAGCCCGAGACCTCAGCCCACGGATGGTGCTACTTGCACATGGGACACATTTTGCCCCCCCCTAGTTAAACCCCTCCTGAAACAACCCACAGACATATCCAGGTGTGTTTCCTAGGTATAAGTCTAAATCTAGCCAAGCTGACAATGTAGATTAGCCATCAGACCCACTTATCCCCTGTCTCGTCTTATATGAGTGAGAACCAGGATACTAGGGGTATCTTTTTAGGACCATGTACCATTGGAAACATCTATGACCCATGAGTGTGTCATATACAGTTGTCCATGAAGTTAAAGCCAAAGGATGGTTATCTTTAGAAGAATGATGCCTCGGCGGTGGTACACGCCTTTAATCCCAGCACTCTCAGGATCTCTGTGAGTTCAAGGCCAGCCTGGTCTACGTGAGCTAGTTCCAGGACAGGCTCCAAAGCTAAGCGACACCCTGTCTCAAACCTTCCCCCCCCAAAAAAAAAGTTTTAGATTTATTTATTTTATGTGTATGAGTGTTTTGCCTGAAAATCAAGGGTGTGCCTGGTGCCTACCGAGGTCAGAATCTAATGACATCTAATGGCATCTAATTCCTCGGACCTGGAGTTACACCTGTGTGCTACCTTGTGGGTGCTGATAGCCAAACCCTGGTCCTATTGAAGAGCAATAAATGCTATCAAGTGCTGAGCCATCTCTGGCCCTGCTTCCACCTGGCAAATGCTGGGATTTTTTTAAATTATTTTTTTAATTTTTAAATAGCTTATTTAATTTTATGTGCATTGGTGTGGAGTTACAGACAATTGTGACTGGTCATGTGGGTTCTGGGAATTGAACCTGGGTCCTCTGGAAGAGCAGTCAGTGCTCTTAACCGCTGAGCCATCTCTTCAGCCCCTTTGTTTTTCATTTTTAAGACAGGGTCGTATTATGTAGCCTTGGCTGGCCTCAAACTTGGTGAGATTATTGCCTCTACCTTCCGAATACTGGAATTAAAAGCTAGCTTAGCCATACCTGGCTCGGGTCTTTCTAACCATCCAATTATAAAGCCTTTCAGAGGGTGCAAGTTGACAAAGTCAAATCGAACAACTAAAATAGCTAGATTTCTAGTTCATTCTCATTAATTTATGTCCTATGCTTCAGGAATGTTTTTATTCACTGGTACTTAAAAGCCATAAATATTATTTTTGGAATTTAAAAAAAAGAGAGAATTTTGAGACAGTCTCTAAAGTTGCATTTCTTTTCTGACTTTCCCAAAACATCACACGTCCCCTTTCCTCTCAGCCCGCCCTCTCCCCGGATCTCGTGCCTGCGCCGGAAGTCTCGCGAGAGGTCGAGGTCTCATGAATTCTCCCAGTAGCCCTTGTACTTCCTCTTCCTGTAAGCGGCCAGAGGTGAGCGTTACTCGGCATCGGGCTCTCGGGGCGAATCCTCCGTCATCGCCGCCGTCGGGGCCTCGGGGGAACCGGCATTGCGGCCCCAGGGCTCTGAGGTACCAGGACAATGGGTCCTCGCCACAGGCGGCCGCTCTCCGTGCGGAGGGGCTCGGCGGCGCACCCGACCCGGGCTTCGGCAGGCCGCGGAGCAGCGTGCGGGGCTGGCGTGGGGTGAGGGCGCCCGAGGCTGGGCCTGGCCCCCACAGTGAGTGCCGGCCTAGTGGAGGCCCCATTCATCTGAGGTCAGGGCTGTACCCTGGGCGGCTCGTGGCGTGGGTGCGTGGGGAGGTCGCGAGGTCGGGGCGAGGGAGGAGCCGGTGTGTGGGTGATGTTGCACGGCCTCGGGCCGCCAATTTCTTTAAAGCTGCCGGTGGAGTCTGGCGATAAACCGGCAAGGAGAAGATGGCTGCGGTGATGTCATTTCTTAGGACACCTTTGGATTGACCGTGAAAATAATTCTTCTCTGAGCAGCCGTTGGCAGTATCTATGGACTCAGGGTTTAGAGGTGTTGGTTACTGGCTGACGGTAATGTTCTGTTCCCAGGTGACCCGTGAAGATGGTTCGCTACTCTCTTGACCCGGAAAACCCTACAAAATGTAAGTTCCAACACGACGTTGTCGATTGTTTTTTTGTTGAGTTTTTGGTGTGTGCCTAATGCAGCAGAGATGAACTTTTACTTTTGCTTTTTTTTGTAGCATGCAAATCGAGAGGATCTAACCTTCGGGTTCACTTTAAGGTAAGGAAGCCCCAAGATCCTTATATAGAATTGTGATTTGCTCCTGCGTGTCTTTACAAGGTCGCTGCAGTGATGACGTTCTTAGGACACCTTTGGATTTACCATGAAAACAAACACATTCTGAGCAGCCTCCTTTTTTATGAGTTGGTCGTTGGGGTGTGAATACTTGAGGAAAACTTGCAAATATTGTGGGATACAGGACTGATTATGGGGTAATGGATCTTAGATAATTTACTGTGATTTTTGTCCCCCAGTTCTCAAAATTTCAGTGGATCGACGATATTAACCAAAATTTTCTGGCTTCTATTAATTAGAACACCCGTGAAACGGCCCAGGCCATCAAGGGTATGCATATCCGAAAAGCCACCAAGTATCTGAAAGATGTCACTTTGAAGAAGCAGTGTGTGCCATTCCGACGGTACAATGGTGGAGTCGGTAGGTGCGCCCAGGTGAGAAATGGACTTAATGGTGGAGGGTGAGGAAGTGAAGTCTCCTTTATTGATCTGGTTGCTGTGATGACAATCTTAGGACACCTTTGGATTAACCGTGAAATGAAACATATTCTGAGCAGCCTTGGTGTTGGCTGAGCTTTCTTAACTGGGTCCGATGCTAGCTTAACAAGGAAAATAATAAGCTGATTCTTTTTTTTTTTTTTCAGGCCAAACAGTGGGGCTGGACACAGGGTCGTTGGCCAAAAAAGAGTGCGGAATTTTTGTTGCACATGCTAAAAAATGCAGAGAGCAATGCTGAACTGAAGGTAACTGGGTCCTTGCCATCCTGTGTGTGTCTTGTGCGGTTACTCAGTATCCTATTCAGTAATTGTCACATAGTGGGAATGGATGTACATGTCTTTTTTTCTTTTTGGGACGGGCGGGGGAGCCTAAACACAGCTTTTGTCTTGCACCTCCCTTGTGACAGAAGGGTGCTCAGAAGCACGGTGAGAATGTAGTAAGAAAATGTTATGTGCTTGGTGTTTCAGGTATCTAGAGGTGGAATATAGCCATTACTTTTGCATTTGAAAATTTGATTTTTGTAGTGAGGCTGTATAACTTTAAAAATAAAAAAATAGTTTGTACTGTAAGAGGACAGAAGGCTACATACTATCTAGTGTAGCAACCATCTCTTTGCTCTAAATACTTTGGTGTATCAGATGGTGTTGCCTTCCACAGATGATGGGCTGAGAGGAGCCTACCTAAAACACAGTGTGGCACTGCACTCAGGCATCCAAATGGGGAGCAAAATGATCAAAGGCATCCATCCCAGTTAGAGGTGAGAAGCTTTTTTTCAAAGCAGATGTTAGTCTGATTTTTTTTCCGCTCTCCTTCCAGGGTTTAGATGTAGACTCTCTGGTCATTGAGCACATCCAGGTGAACAAAGCCCCTAAGATGCGCCGAAGAACTTACAGAGCTCATGGCCGGATTAACCCATACATGAGCTCTCCCTGCCACATTGAGATGATCCTCACTGAAAAGGAACAGATTGTTCCAAAGCCAGAAGAGGAGGTTGCACAGAAGAAAAAGGTGAGCCATTCAGTTTTATTTTTAGATAATACTAAAAAAGACACGGGCACCTTTGTAATGACCATGAAAGGAGCCTATTCTTACCAGCCATCTTACCACATATTATGTGGCTTTTCTGGCAGTTACCTGTAGTCACACTAGATTTGATTAGCTATTGCACTAGACTACTTCCTCTTTACAGCTAAATAATTTGACTTTTGACTCTTAAGTGTTGCCATTTATCCCTAATCCTCTAACAGTGCTTCTTAACCTTCCTAATGCTGTGACTCTTCAATAGTCTTCATGTTGTGCTGACCCCAACCATAGAGTTGTGTTTTGTTTTTTCCTGATGGGCTTAAAAGAGGGAGTAAACAGAGCCGCCTACTGATGTTCACCAGTTGAGCTTTTCCTACCTTTCCTGAGGTGTGAATTTGAGTCCTTTTAAAAATTAATGCTAATTGAAAAAAATGATCCTTTTCATTGTCTTTTCAGATATCCCAGAAGAAACTGAAGAAACAAAAACTTCTGGCACGGGAATAAATTCAACATGAAATAAATGCAGATAAAAGTAAAGGTCTTCTGGTCGTTTATATATGTATTGTTGCAGAGTGCCTGTTATTCAACCCTGCAAGATAAACCTTGTTGGGAGGGGTTTATTAAAGTGATCAAGCAATGAAACAAACTGTTGGAAAACAAGTAGGCCATAGGAAAATGACTAGTTTGGTTTAGCATTTACTGGAGAGCTTCCCTTGGGAGACTATTGTACAAGATCTTAGGTGTATAATCTGCCTTCAGGGGAAAGGACATCTTTACAATTGATCCTAGTTGAGCTACAATATTATCCTTAGAATGCTTAGGTTGTTAGAAAGGGCAATACCCAAATATTAAGCTATAAAAGTATGTGGATTTTAGAAAATATTTAGGTTACATGTGTACTGCCCATTTAAGACACAATTAAAGTCTTAACTGATTTGGGACGGACCATATCATTAAGTGTTTTTTCTGTCGCGCACATAAAGATAAGCTGTTTTCAATGCCTTTGACTGGCCTCTGAGAACAGCACAAACAGGTGTGTATTTTAAGGCTAGAGAGAAGGGTCAGCAGTTATGACTGTATACTGTTCCTGCAAAGGATCCAATGACCTTACTCAAGCTCCAGGGCCTCTGTTAACCCTCTTACTGACTCCTTGGGAAGCCATACAATACAAGCACATGGAAAACTTAAAAAACTTGAGATTTTTAAAGAGGCTTTACAGGGTGTTCAGTGTATCCAGTTTTGACCTTCCAAGTAGCCTGGGCTTAAATCTGTTATAATACAAACTGCCAAGGCATGCATTTGCTTAGAAGGTTGTAAGGTACTGGCTGCCTATCAGTGCTACACCCCTAAGGTATTTCCTGTATTCATTTACCTGTTTAGCACTTAAAAAGTCAACTTAGTGTGGTGCCCTTTGCCATTATTTTTGAAAGCATTTTTTTCAGGGTTGCGACTTGCCTAAAGAACTGGACTGGAGGGATGATTAAGGTGGAACCACGAAGCCTGACCACCTGAGTTGATACCCAGGGCCTACATAGTGGAGGAAGAAACATCCCTAGTTTTTCACATTTCACATCACATTTCATGTGATGCAGCACATGAAATAAGTTTTTTTTTTAATAGGTATACAGTATTCTGTGTGTGTGTGCCGGAAGGCCAGAAGAGGGCACCAGACCTCATTGCAGATGGCTGTGAGCCACCATGTGGTTGCTGGGAATTGAACTCAGGACCTCTGGAAGAGCAGTCAGTGCTCTTAACCTCAGAGCCATCTCTCCAGCCCCTTTTGTTTTTTTATTTTGTTGACCATCAAGCTTGTTTTCCGGCAACGATGGTGTTTTCCTGTAAACCTCTTAATGTACGAGGTTTGGTTTTTTTTCTTGGGTATATCCCCAAGTTGTGGGTCCGACATTGCCAAACGGTTTCTGTTACCCTGGCTGTCCTAGATCTCCCTCTGTAGACCAGGCTGGCTTCAAAATCATAAATCCTCCTTACCTCTGCCTAACGGAGACTTAAGTATTTCAGCCAGCAATGTAGTGTGTAAGAGTTCCAAATCCAGTCATATCAACACTAATCTGCAATAGTGTCTCAGTGCATGTAAAATGGTTAGCAGCTCAGGGGTTGAGTGCTATAAACAACCCAATCCAGTTTTTAGTGTGCTCTACATTTACCCCCTCTAGTAAAGGTCTGTAAATCGCCAGGCGTGTACAAAACCTCATCGTCTAGGGTGACAGGAACATGGGAGTCATGATTTCAAGACCCGTATTTCATGTGTGAAAACCAAAAGAATGGTAGCAAATGTGAGCCTGAGAACATTTGTGCCATAGCCCTCTGTCGAGCCCTCTGCAGCCCAGGGGAGATTTCCTGGGTCAGAAGCAAGTCAGATGCCTGGGAAATAAGGTCCTGGCCATAGAGTCACCTTTCACTATCCCGGAGGCACAAGACTGTGGCGCGACTCCGGACAGGCGGCGAGCTCTGTGCACGTCACTGTTACGTTGTGCGCGTCCTCTGTCTGACGCATCCGCCTTTGTCAGCTTCTCGACGTATCATTGGCTGTTAGCAGCCTAGCCTCCCGGAAGTGCGGACATTGCCCTGGGCGTCTTGGTGGTGGTGGTGAGATTTTGGTGGGGTTGGAGCTCTCTCGCCCGGTCTCTGTCAGTGTACCGGTAGCTTGCCCTCGCCTCACATCTCGGCCCGGTCCTCGTCCATCGACCTCGGTGTCCCTTCCTTCCTTCCTTCCTTCCTTCCCTGGCGGTTTGATTCTCATCCTTGGATCCGCACGGTGAGAGCCTCTTCTCTCTGAGCCTCTGGCCCCTTTGCCTCCCTACTTTTTGATCGTTGTCTGTGGTTTCCCTTGTTCCTCTCCGTTCCATCAAGGGAAGCGACTTCACGGCTCTACTTAGGCTGTTCTGGTAGATCCCTAGCCCTTTCCTCTGTCACTTCCATTGTCCTCTTAGACTAAGTTGAGTGAAAGATTCCGTTTTGCTCTCTTTGATGGCTTGGGTAGTAGTTAAAATAGCACCCTACCATGCCGTCTTCTAGACATTTACACCGCAGTTTCTACAGTGTGGAATAAAACATCTATCAAAAACAATTTAAGTTACTAGGATTAAGAGACAATACTTTTAGCTTTGTACTTAAAGAGCTCCAAAAAGTTTTGAAAAAACCATAATATGGAAGTCGGGAGTGGTTAGTGCATACTTTTCATCACCGGTGAAAGGCCGGCAGAGGCCGGTAGATCTCTTTAAGTTCAAGGCCAGCCAAGGCTACATTTTGGGACCTTGTCTAATAAGTAATAGTGTGGTGTAGTTACTGGCATGGTTTCTTGGGGTTTTATTTAGAGCATAATGTGTAGGAATATTTAAACCAGCTACAGATAGAACTCAAAAAATATGAATGACAAAGTTGAATGATAGGAAAGACCTGAAGAGGAGTTGTAAAATTCTCAAATAATTTTTTTAAATTGGGGAAAAGGTAAAAAATGATTTTTAAGTATGACTTAAAACTCATATACATATCTCCCCTTCATCCTCCCAAGGAATGGAATTAAAGACATGAGCCACCATTCCTGGCAGGAATTCTGATTGTGCACAGGGTCCGGCTTTTGTGAGTGCTCTTCCACCAGTATGTATCCCCTGCCCCTGACTTTAAACTTTTGTTTTTCATTTTGAGATAGGATCTTCCTAAATTGTTCGCATAGGCCTTGAACTTGGTGTGTAGCCCGGGCCGATTTATGCAGCTCTTTTCATGAGCCTCCCAAATAGCTGGGATCACAAGCCTGGCTGGCCTCTTTGTTTGGTTTTGTGACATTTGTTTTATACTACAGTCACACTGTCCGATGCATACCACGTTCTTGTAAGCAGGGTGCTGTCATCAACTTCATTTTCCTCATGAGGGGATTAAGACACAGATTCAGTAATTTTTGCAAGGAACACCTTTTAGAAAGTGATGCAGGTCTCCTATCAAGGCGCTTCCCCAGGAAGTCTGTGAGTGCTGTGCTGAGGTACCTTTAAAGACTTCAGGACCTAGAGCCAGCTTCTCGACCTGTGCGACGCCAGCTCAGATCCTAAACACCTGGGGCCAGAAGTCAGATTCCTGGAAAGATGCTGCAGGAGACTCTCTGCTCGCTGACTGTTTCAGAGTACAGAGTGCAGAGGGCCGAGCACAGTTGTTCTCAACCTTCCTGATTCAGGTCCTCTTGTTGTGACCCTAACCATAACATTATCTTGTTGCTACTTCATAACCAATTTTGATACTGTTAGGAATCATAATGTAAATATCTGATATGCTGGATATCTGAGATGCAACACCTGTGAAAGGGCCTCCGTGACCCATAGGTTAAGAACCGTGGGTCTAGCAGGAGCCAGGCAAGTGAACTACACCCCCAGCTTAATGGCTGATTTGATTTTTTTTTTTAAATCAGAGTGTGTTCTTGAAATTTTTAGAGATCACTTTGATAAATTCTAAAGTTATTTTGACTAGAATTGACTGAGTCCTTTATAAAATAGCTAGTTGTTCCTTGATGTAAATTTATACTTAGAGTTTTTGCTGGTAATTCATTTCAGAATCGCATTCAAAAGAATCATAACACTGTTTAGCTGCAGTGTGAGCACTTTAAAGTGTGCTTCTGGTGCTGAGTCATCTGACAATCAGTGTTCCTTCCCTGATAATATTGTGAAAATCAGAAAAGTTAACATTACTGAGTATTGGTCTGAAACTTCTTTATTATAAGGTCCTTGTGCGCTTAGTTTAAATACTAACCTGGAAGAACCTGGAATTACCTGAGAAGAGTTTGAATGAGTGCTGATCAAGATCCACTTGGCCTGTGAGCATGTCTGTGATTATTTCGATTGTTAAAGGATGTAGGAAGACCTCGTCCATTGCGGGCATCAAAACTCCTTAGGCAGGAGATCCTCAACAGGGTAAGAGGAGAAACCCAGGAGCAGAGTGAGCGAGCAAGGATCCTTGTGCTTTTTCCTCTCTGCCATTACAGGGTTTCTCTGTGTAGCCCCAGCTGTCCTGGAACTCTCACTGTAGACCAGCTGGCCTTGAACTCCCAGAGATCACCTGCCTCTGCCTCTGCACCCTAAGTGCTGGGATTAAAGGTGTGTGCCACCACCACCCGGTTTCTCTGCTCTTGATTGTAGATGCGATGTTTTCCCACAGCCGTGGACTAACTTGGACTGCAGTGACACAAACCGTCTCTTCCTAAGTTGCTTTTGTTGGGGTGTCTGTCACCGTAACAGAAATGAAATTAGAATAATCCTCTATCTTGAAATCCTCGTCCTGAGATTAATTTATTTTGGAGGTTTAAGAGATCTTTTGATTTTCTAGAACAAGTGTTGTCTCTTTTAAGACATAGTTGATTTTCAGAATCAGATTTGTCAATATGATTTTTAATTAGCAAGAACATTAAGAAGGACTGGCTGTGTAGGTGCATGCCTTTAATCCCTGAACTAGAGAGGCAGAGGAAGGCCTGGAACTAGAGTTCCAGTCAGCTAGGGCTACATGGTGAGAGATTCTGTCCAAAAAATAAAAAGAATATTAGAAGTATTAACTTTTAGAAATGAGCAATATACTTGCATGATAATACTTATCTTAGGGTTATTTTTGCTGTGATGAAACACCATCACAGCCAATATGCATAAAATAAATAAGTAAATCTTAAAACAGCAAAATAAATTAAAAATAAAAGAAAGTTGATCTATTTAATGGTGCCTGTTATTCAGCACTTAGGAGGCTTGGGCAAAAAGAGTACCAATTCCAGGACAGCCTGGACAGTCTCAAAAAAGGAAAAGCAGGTCTAGGTTTGTAAGTTGATGGCAGAGTTCTTTCTGTCATGCACAAGGCCCTGGCTTCCATGCCCAACAGTGGCCCCCACCCTTGAGGAGACTTAGAGAAGCTGATTTGGAAGCCTAAAGTTTGAGTTTTATTTAACAGAATTTGTCTTTACCGTTGTTCCGTTGGCTTATTGTTTTTGTTTTGGTTTTTTTTTTTTTTTTTTTGACTCAGTTTCTCTATGCAGCATGGCTGTCCTGGAACAACTTGCTCTGTAGACCAGGCTAGCCTCAAACTCACGGAGATCTGCTCACCTCTTCCTGAGATTTAAGGCTTGTGCCATAACTACCTGGCCCATTAGCTTATTGTTAATTGTTGGTTCCTGATAAAATTCACACTGCGTGCACCCCATATTTGAGTATAAGTGATATTGTTTTCCTTTAGAAAAAAGCCAAGCAAAAGCAAATCACTTCTCATTATGTAGTCCTGACGACTGTCTTGGAAGTCTCTAGGTAAATCAGGCTGGCCTCCAGCTCGTAGGCATCAAATGCTGGAATTAAAGACAGGTACAACCATGTCTGGCTATATATATTTCATTATCATTATTTACTTTTTTTTTAATTTAATGTACGTGTGCATAGGAGAGGGAGCCACGCCACTGTGCTGTGTTGAGGTCAGGGGACAGCTTGCAGGAGTAGACATGCAGTACGTAGCACATACTGTCAGAATGCTTAAAAGTCCTTTTGTTGTGTTTTTATTTATCATGTGGGCATACCCATGCCATGGTGAGCCTGTGGAAGTTAGAGGTCAAAGTAACTGGAGTTAGTTCTGTCTTTCCCTGTATTGGTTCTGGGTATTCAGCTTAGGTTGTCGGGCCTGGAGGCAGGCACCTTTGTCCACCCAACTGTCCTTTTGTCATGAGATCTTTGAGGCAGCGACAGTGTTTGGAATTGGATGCTGGCATCCAGCTTGACTGTTCGTGTTTGTTCCTTTACCTGGCAGATAGCAGAATTTTGGTTTAGAAAGCTTTGCCTTTAGCATATAGTTTTGTCCATGCCCCACCCCTGTAGAGAGTACTTTCCATAAAGCCTTTCTGTCACTAATCTACAATGAGCTGGTTCTTCTCTGTCAGCAGTTTTGGAACTCAAGCCTGGGACAATGGTGTGCATTCCTTGTATCGTCATTCCAGTTCTGCTCTGGATCTTCAAAAAATTCCTGGAGCCGTACATCTACCCTCTGGTTTCCCCCGTCATCAGCCGTATATGGCCTAAAAAGGCTGTACAAGAATCCAATGCTAAAAATATAGGCAAAGTAGACTGCCAGGTAAGACCCTTCAAATGCCTGAGGAAAGGCGGGTGAAAGGGTGCACCTGGGTAACCCTTGATTTTCGGAAGAGTGAGCTGCTAGAACTGGTACCTTTAATTTGTCTCAATTATTTAGTAATTTTAGTAATCAGAAGACTTTAGACCAGACTTCTGAGTAACGTGTTTGTCCTTTTGCCTATGGCTTTGGTTGAGGAGCTTACTTTCCCCCTCCTGATGTGGGGATTGAACCAGGACCAGGAACCCGCCAGATCAGCGCTCTACCACTGAGCTACATACCCGGGCCCAGTGTGAAGGTTGTTTAGAAAGGGACTATTTAGACCGCTCCTGTCTTCAGCATTGGTGCCTGTTAAATTGGCTTTGTTTAGCTGTGTTAATTTAATTAACCAGTGTGATTCTGAAAGCAAAATCATTTCATTCTGAAGTTTGTCTGTTTTTACAAACAATGTCTCTTAAAATCAGTTCCTTTTCCTTTTAATAATTCTTATTTTCTTTTCTCTTTTTTTTTCCGTCATTTTAGGGTGCAGATATCAATGGATTACCCAAAAAAGGAGCAACAGAGGTCTCTGAGAAGAAGAAAAACTAGTGTGGTTTTCCTGTAGCCCTCAGCTGTTTTCAAATGGACCCGATAATATGAAGCACCTTCTTTGTCTCTTGACTTTTTTCTCTGAGACCAGGATTATAGATAAGCAGTTTAGCTATCTGCCTGATACTGATCAGGAAGAACATGGTATTTATATTTAAAGTATAAGTAGTTATATTTAATGACCCCACCCTGAGTTTCTTGTTGATTAAAGTAGCTTTCATTTCTACTAATAAGGATAAATAGAAGATTTGTGTGAGCAGACACTCACAACCTGCAGTCCTTGGGCCTTTACATTCTTTCGCTTCCTGTGGGCTCTCATCTAGTACAGTGGATGGAATGAGGTGTGAAAGATCAAATTACTGATAATCACAGCTGAGAGCTGAGACTTAGGAGTAGTTATTGCGCTAAGGAACCTGAAAAAGAAGGAACTAGGGGAACTTCTTTGAAAAATGTACCATCAACATCAGTGTCAATCACATAAACTCTGATTCTGCTGTACTTCTCATCCTGCAGGTGCATTAAACATTCATTTTAACTTGTTCTTTGCTTCTTTTTGTCTTTTCGTATTTGAAGGTAATGTTTTAAAAAGATCGGGCTAACAAAGCGAGTCTTAGAACTGTGATGGCGTCTAGACAGCGGTGAAGCAGCAGTCAGCATTACACAATGAGTTCATTACCTAGGAAGGGCTTGACCAGCCTGGTTTTGCCTAAAGCAGCCAGGGGTCTTGCTTGCCTGGTGCTTCTTTACTTCAATGATGACAGGATAAACCAGTCCTGTGCCTGATGCCTGTAGCTCCGAGGTCAAGCCTGACCTTTGCTGCAGAATGAGTTTGCATCTAACTTAGCCAGATCGCAGTCCAGTTAAAAAAAATGCAAAAACGGTTGGAGATATAGCCCAGTGGCACAGTGTTTGCTTAACCTGAGCCCTGGGTACAGTTCACAGCGCTGGACGTCCCTCCACTCAAACTCTGTGTTGCAGAGGATGGCCTTGAACTTCTGGTCGGCCTGTCACCACCTCCCAAGTGCTAGGGATACCGGTGTGTACTACCACACCTGCTCCCCACCCTCCTTTGTTCTTTGGAGATAGCTGTTTGGTCTGGGAGACATGGTCCTAGCTTAGCCTCCCAAGTGCTTCAAGTGCAGGCATCAACCTCCATTCCTGGTTTAAAATGCTTGTGTTGAGTGTGTACATCATTGTTTTTATTATACATCGGGGTTTTTTTTTGCGGGGGGTGCTTTGAAGCAAGGTCTTTATTTGTAGTGTAGCCCTAGCTGCCCTGGAGCTCAGTATGTAGATCAGGCTGGTCTCAAACTCACAGAGATCCTCCTGCCTCTGCCTCCCAAGTCCTAGGATTAAAGGTGTGCACCACCACCACCACACCCATCCTGCACATCATTTTTTTTTAAGATTTATTTATTTATTTATTATGTATACAGCATTCCTTTCATGTATGCCTGCAGGCCAGAAGAGGGCACCAGATCTCATTATAGATGGCTGTGAGCCACCATGTGGATGCTGGGAATTGAACTCAGGACCTCTGGAAGAGCAGTCAGTGCTCTTAACCACTGAGCCATCTCTCCAGCCCCCTGCACATCATTTTTAAATTAATTTCTTTTGAAGTGGTCTTGGATAGTTCAAGCTGGCCTCTGTAGTCAAAGATGACCTTGAACCTCTGTGCCTTCTGCAATGCGCAGATGCCGCTATTACATGTGTGTGCCATCATAGCCAGCTCACAAAACCTTGAAGTAGAATAATTTTTTTTTATTTTTATGTGTGTGTTTTTCCTGTGCACACGTATGTGCACTTTCTATGTGCCTATGGATGTTTGTGAGTCACCACGTGGGTGCTAGGAATTGAACCCAAATACTATCGCTGCTAATTTTTTCGTTATAAACTTTAGACTGACTTCCTTGTGTTTGAGATCTGAGTGTATTATGTGAGTGGGTGTTCTGTCTACCTGTATGCCTGACCAGATGAGTCTTGGTGTCAGAAGAGCCCAGAAGAGGGTGATGGATCCCCTAGATCTGGAGTTACAGTTGTGAGCTGACATGTGGATGCTGAGAATTTAACCTGGGTCCCCTGGAAGAGGACTAGTTAGCCACTAAGCCATCTCTCCAGCTTCTAGCTGTTTTATACTTACATATTCTCCCAAAGTTTTATAGGGGGACGGGTTGATGCTAGAGATTAAACCCTGGACCTCAGGCATAAGTGTTGTGAGGGGCTGCGGGCAGGCCTGCTTTTCAACCTGCCCAGCTCCCGCACAGCTAGCTTAGTCCCAGAAATAACAACACACAAATTGTATTCATTTAAGCACTGCCTGGCCCATTACCTCTAGAGAGTGAGTTACTGACTAACTCTCATATCTTGATATTAACCCATTTCTAATAATCTGTGTAGAACCACGAGGTGGTGGCTTACCGGGAAATATTCAGCATGTCTGACCTGGTGGCTGGCTCCATGGCTTTTGCCTCATAGCCCTCTTTCCAGCATTCTGTTCTGTTTACTCCGCCTACCTAATTTTCTGTCCTATCAAGGGGCCAAGGCAGTCTCTTTATTGACCAATGAAAATAACACAATAGACAGATAACCTTCCTCCATCACATAAGCATGCTGAGTACATGTTCTACTACACTTATGCTTCATGAGTTTCCAACTTCCAATGTCTTTTTTTTGGGGGGGGGGTGCGTGATCTTGAAATTTTTTTCTCTTCAAAATTATTTTTTTTTATTAATTTATAAGAGTTTCCACTTCCGCCCCTCCTCCCAATACCCTCCCACTCCCCCCACTCCCCTCTCCTCCTCCCTCTCCAGCCCTAAGAGCAGTCAGGGTTTCCTGCCCTGTGGGAAGTTCAAGTTCCTCCCCTCTCCCTCCAGGTCTAGGAAGGTGAGCATCCAAACAGACTAGGGTCCCAAAAAGCCAGTAAATGCAGAGGAAACAAGTCCCAGTGCCATTATCAATGGCTTCTCAAACAGTCCCCGTGCCAGCCACATTCAGAGAATCTGGTTTAAGCACGTGCTCGTTCAGTCCCAGTCCATCTGGCTTTGGTGAGCTCTCATTAGATCAGTCCCCTTGTATCAGTGGGTGAACGCACTCCTCACGGTCCTGCCTTCCTTGTTCATGTTTACCCTCCTTCTGCTCCTCATTTGGACCTTGGGGGCTCAGTCCAGTGCTCCAATGTGGGTCTCTGTCTCAATCTCCATCCATCGTCGGATGAAGGTTCCCTCTGATCCTGCCTTCCTTGCTCACGTTCTCCCTCCTTCTGCTTCTCATTTGGACCTAGGAAGTTAAGTCCAGTGTTCCAATGTGGGTCTCTGTCTCTATCTCCATCCATCGCCAGATGAAGGTTCTGTGGTGACATGCAAAATATTCATCAGTATGGTTATGGACCTAGGCCAGTTCGGGCACCCTCTCCTCTGCTGTCCAGGGAACAATCTGGGGGATCTCTCCTTGGACCTGGGAACCCCTCTAGAATCAAGTCTCTTGTAAACCCTAAAATGGCTCCCTTAGTTGAGATATATACTTCCCTGCTCCCATATCCATCCTTCCTCCCTCCCCCCA